AAGAACTACAGCACATGTGACACACTATGGTGCAATTGGAACGAAGAGGCACACACCCTCCCGGCCCCCGAGGAGGCCTCGCATGCTGGTGGGCGCCAAATCACCGGGAGGCTCCCACCAGGGCTTCGGTCTCGATCGGTCCACGGCTCACTAGCGTTGTGTCTCTCGGGGCTGGGAGGATCCAGTCAAATTAGGGGGGGGCCTTTTTAGAGGGTCGGACTCACTCTGTGCAGGTACGAACCACCCAATCGACGCAGTTGGTGCTGTTCGACTGGCCTGCCTGTCCCCACAAGAGACAGGAGCTGTGACTCATCCCTGCGGACTTTATTGGTTCTGTCGTATAACCTGTTTGACCACGGTACTCTCGTGTGACACGGCACTTTGGTTCTGCACGGCACTTTCATTCGACAGGGTGCTTTGGTTCGACACGAACGTTCCTTCATTGGTCCTGTCGTATAGCTGTTCGACAGGGTACTTTGGTTCTGCACGGCACTTTGGTTTGACAGGGTACTTTGATTCGACAGGGTACTTTGGTTTGACACGGCACTTTGGTTCGATCGCCCCAGTCTTGTGCGACACGAATATTCCGCCAAGTCTGGGTCGGGAAAAAATAGGGGTTCTGGCTTTCCCACATAAGTGCTCCCTTCCCCGACCCGCCTCCCAGCCTCCCAGCCTTCTCCCAGATGGCTCTCGCAAAGTACTGTCCATAAGAAGGGCAAACAGCCCCGATTTCGCCTCGAGTTTCACTTCTCTTCCGGATCCTGATGCTCGTTTCCACCACCACAAACATACGATGTTGACGCTCTTGACGGCATGAATGGGAAATACGGCTCTCTACATCTCGCCGACACCATATCTGACCTCGACAAGCAAGTGGGCGGTCTTCTACATGTCGTCAGCACCGACATCAATTACGACAATTCTTTTTCGACTGGGTAAAGTGAGGAGAACTCTGTGTTGGGAGACATAATCGTCGCACCTTGTGACATGGGGGACCAAGTCACTGATGTCGTCATCCGTCCGCATCGTACTCCCTAGGATGGTCTCGAAGACCCAAAGGTCAAAGACATCATATCATGGAGACATGGAGATACCTACAGCCTTCGGCACCGACCGCACCCCCTAGAGATGTCCCTCCCAGCTCCCAAACGCCCCGCCTTGTCCGAGCTGCGGTCTTTCATCGTCGATGAACAGACCCCTCGAGATAAGCAACGATAAAGGTATTGTGGTCGTCCACGTTGGGGTCATACACGCACATACCGAGGGCAATCAAAGCTTGGGACAAGAGATAGGAAGGATAAGGCATACGCAGCTTTAAAAGGCAGTTTCAACTACCACGAACAACAGCACGAAAATGGCTCAAACAACGCGACCAATCTGGCAGAAAAGCCTACAAAAGGACGCGAAACATACAAAACAACCTTGGCCGCAAGCCAAGGATCTCAAAAGAACAGTGTAAATTCACTGTTTCTACAGAGAATCCCTATTGGCAGAAATTGCTCGATCTCAACCTCAGGCATCTACAAGGTCAGAATTAAAGCCTTTTCACAAGCAAAACCGTATTGAACTCGGTCAAGAGCACCAGGAGAAGACTATCGATAACCTCTGACAACATATTATCCTTACAGACGAATCCCACTTCGATATACCTCGCAGGCTAAGCCTCGAGTTTTACGAGAATAAGTTGTGGACATCGATATATCCCTGAGAATACCACAGAAAGGTCTCCTCGTCGAGGAAAGACCACTCACGCCGCGGCCTTTATCAACTAGCACTTCAACAGTGAAAAGTTAATATTTTCCAACGACGAGAACGACGCTCCAACTGGAGCAGTCGAGATCCAACCTCAACGCCGTTATGGTAGGTCTCGAAAGTCAAACACGAGTTACAGGAACAGTTTAAACAGCGTCAAAGCGAATGGGAAGTCTCGTTACCTCAAGGCTGAATTACACTCAACAGGCAACTCAATGACCCAGGAAAATTATACAAACACAATCTTCCTTTACTATATCGGTACCACTCAATAGGTGGCGAGAGTATTCGGCTTACCGAATATTTATAGGGGAGTGGCTCCTAGTTGAAGACGAAGGGTGAGGTATTCGTTCACGGAACGCCAGGCGAAAGAAATCCTTTAGGAATGGGATAGGATTACCCAAGGCGAGGTTCAAGCGAGGATTGCAGAGATGCACTGGCGATGCAAACGACTAGTTAAAAACAGGTGGTGAAGCTATGTTTGCACAAAGCTTCCCCTCTCAACTTTGATACATGAGACGGAGTCGCCCGTGGCAGCTGATGAGATTGCCGCTACTTCCCTACAAGGTGAGGATGAGTACGGTGAAAGCGTGAGCAGCCAGGCCAATGGCTCTACGGGCCACTCCTCAAACTACGACGCGGATCCGGAAGGCGACTCCGAGAACGGCGACCCCGACAAACTTGCTAAGAGGATCATACCTAGCAACCCTAATTCGTCCACTTCCAATTCATTGCACGGCCACTGCAAGCATCCGCGTTAGGGGGGTGGACTGAGGAAGAAGCGATGACAGCGGACGAGCGTTACTCGGATCACGACGAGATCTCTTCGCGACCAAAACGATCCACGCAGCGAAGTTGGGGTCAGGTTCAAGACAAGCAGGGGACGTTATTTAGACGCCAGCGAGTGCGTCCACACGCAATCCTCATCACGAGCAGACGAAGACAGCTAGATGTGGCATGGTGCGACAGTGTGGCCGTGAAGACAAGCATTGGGAGCAAGCTGGAGAAAGTCCACGGATTTCGTCAACGAGAATACAGGCCGCATTTTGGGTTTCGGTCGCGTTGACCCGTTTTCAGGTCTCTGCGGAAAATGTCTCGGACACATAAGATGCATCTCAACTGCGCATTTTTAGCCGTGTGATTTCCGTGGATCCAAATTTTGGACAAGCCGATAAAGGTGGTTCAGAG